TACGATACAATTATACAAAATGTGTTAACATCAAAGAATACAACCAAAATTAAAAGGGCAAACAAAACCTATAGAACTTTTTTTGTACAGGAAAATACTTTTGAAGTATGCACGTAACTGCCCATTCTTTTAAAGAAAATCTACTGCAAGCAAAGTTATCAACCTCCAGAAAAATCACCCATAGCATTACTAAGCATGTCCCCAAAAAGTGTACAATATGCACACTTGGAAAATACAAAATAAAAAAAATTGTAAGCAACAGGTGAGCTTCATATTTATAAGAATGTGAAAAGAAGTCCCATTTTTAGCACTGTTGTATAAGGAATTGTCTTTTGATGCAAAGTTCATGAGGTGTCCTTCAGGTGGGACCACACTTTACAAAAACACCGTGTTTTTGAAACGAGATTACAGAGCAAGATAGAGCATCTTAGCAATGTCATCTTATTAAAGTTTGTTGTGGTTTCTTTTTTTAAAATTTTTTACTACTTTATCAAAACATGTCCCTTAAGTGTAGGATTCGTTTTTTAAATCTTTCCTAGAAACAATATACAAAGGAGAGGCGTATGTATTCCACCGATGCTCCTGGAAGGTACTTGCCCAGGCCGAGAGGGCTCCTCTCTTCCTTTCACTGGTTGTTTTTGGCCTTAGCGTGTGTTAAGATGTGAGATTTCAGGTTAGTTGACTGAGCAAACTTCTTATTACAACCCTCGAAGGGGCACACATAGGGCCTGTCTCCAGCGTGAATTCGCACAAGTGTGCGCAAATTGAAGTCCAGTGAAAAGCGCTTCCCACAGCCTTCGAACGTGCACTGAAAAGGCTTCTCTCCAGTATGAACCAGTTGGTGCCGTTTCAGCTTCGAGCTCTAGACGAAGGCTTTGCCGCACTCTGCGCAGACGTGGACGCGGGGCCGTGTGTGTGCAGGTGCTTCCTCATGGCGGAGTTGTCCCTGAACATCTTCGTGCAGCCTTTATGAGGGCAAGCTATTGTTCTTGGAGTGTCATCTTCTTTAATTTTTCTTGGCTTCATTCTAGCAAATTCTGCGAGCTGTTTGGGATCCGAGAGGTCGATGCAGGAATCCCACCAGGAGCCAGCTTCTTCCCTGTCATGTACTCTGAGTAATCGGGAGGCGAGTTCTCCCCAATGATCTGTTCTTAAACCACCATCTCATGGTCAACATCTTTTTTCTCATCTGACGACCACATGGTGACCGAGAACTCGCCCTCCAGCGTCTTGATCTGCACCTGCTTCTCCTCCCACTTCTTGCCGCCCTTCTTGACACGGCCGCCGCCGCAGCCATGGTGACGAGCGTCTGCTCGATGTAGTCGTCGTCGCCGCCGGCCGGCGCGGGCACCGGGATGAGGATCTGGTCCTCGAAGCCGTCCTCGGCGCGCAGCCCGTCCGCCTCGTCGCCGCCCACCACCTCCTCGCGCGTCTGCACCAGGATCACCTCCTGGTGGTGGTGCACCTGGCTCGGGTCGTCGGTGACGAGCGGCTGCAGCGCGATCATGGGCGGGTGGTGGTGGTGGTGGTGGTGGTGGTGCGCGTGGGGGTGCGCGCCGTGCTCGGCGCCGTCGTCGTCGTCGTCGTCCTCCTCCTCCTCCTCGCCCACCACCGTGGTCTCGATGGTCTCCACCGGGATGGTCTCCACCTCGATCTCGTGCAGCTCCACGATCTCGGCCGGCATCTCCGAGCCGTCCGTGGCGATGTACAGCGTGTCGCCCGAGGCCATGGCTGCGGGCTCCGGTGCTTCGGCCGCGCGCAGCGGGCCTCGGCTCCGGGCTGCGGGCGAGGAGGAGGCAGCCGGCCGCGGGGAAGGCAGGCTGAAGGAGGAAGGCGGTGAGCGGGAGGGGGAGAGGGGGCTGGCGGCGAGGAAGGGGCCAATATTTGTTTTCTTGATGTTGAGATTCAATCCATATTGAAGGTTTTATTCTTTGACCTTCTGCAACAAGTGCTTCAAGTCCTCACTTTCAGCAATCAAAGTTGTGTCATTTGCATAATGCAGGTTATTGATGAGTCTCTCTCTGATCCTCATGCCTCATTCCTCATCACAGAGGCCGGATTCTCAAATAAATATGTTAACGGCATTGAAGTCTATGGGGGAGAGAATAGTCTAAAAGTATTATATTTTAAGGCATTATTTTTATCGCAGGAGTACGCAATGAGGGTTGCAGAGTGGATTATATTTGGGGGTAGGGGTGGGGTTTGGGGAGGTGCAGGGGGGATTGTGTACTAATGAGGGAGTTTTTCTTTTGCTTTTCAAGGAGAGGAGCAAACGGCGGGGGGGAGGGGGGAGAGGTTTGTGCGGGGAGAAGGGTGCAACAATGAATGAATGGAAT